TATATAATCACATCAGAAACGAGAAAATAATTGCTCATATTTTTGTAAGTTTTTGTAAAATAGGTTGAAATAAAAAGATATATACATAAAATAATATAAATATACACGCTTAGTTACTTTATTTTAAACATGAAAAAACTATACCCATGATGTTCGCTACAGCCTCCTCAACATCTATAATTCTGCCAAAGCCCGCGTGCTTTTCAGCAACAACCATACTGCAAACGATCGGTCGACCCAGCATCAGAAAAGCGTCCAGTGAATCAAGACAAGACTGTATTCTTTGCTGCAGTGTACCGCCGATGATAAGTTCCTTACTGTCCTCTTGCATGTCAGCAAAGTGTCCAAAATCACCCACCGCTCCCCATTGTATAGCCAATCCGGGTAATCCGTCTTGTACTCTTGTCTCGCTTATTCTCTCCATGATTGAATTAGCCATTCCATAATTAGTTTGCCCAGCGTTTCCTCGGCCGCATGAGACGGACAAGAAAACGACGAAATGTGGGAGATCGGGGCATATCTTCCTCGAGAGCTTNGGCCATTGCCTTCGGCTTGAATGACTCCTCGAAAGCTTCTGCGGTTTGGTTCTTGTAGATAGAATCTCTGAGTACAAGCGCGAGGTTGAACATAGCGTCCACGGGTCTCAGTTCCGCAGCGAATTTCAAAATAACCGCACAATCCTTAAGATCGGACGCATCAGAACCTGCAATGATTTGAATATTTACCGCGTAGGACTTCCATAATTCCACCCTCGAACGCTGATAGCCGTTTTGTATTCCGGTTCGCGAAATCAGCAGTAAATTTCGGGCGCCCCGAAGAATCAGCCAGTCTGCTAATTCCAACCCGAAGCCACCTAGACCGCCCTAAATAACGTAAGATTTGTGCTTTTCTCAGAAAAATCGGGGGTGAGCGAGAATTGAATGATCCAATTTTTCATTTTCATTATATATTTTTATCAGTACCTGAAAATAAGAACAGCAGTCCTCGAATTTCGCATGAGCGCCGAAGATAACGCTTTCTCTCCTGTGTGTGAGAACTTACCTTTCC